AGGACTATGTTGAGACAGGACTTATCGCCCGCTCTTCAGATAAGGGCTTTTCAAAGGATCACTAGATTGGGTCGCTGCGATGTGGAGCTGCTGAAGAAGGAAATGGGTGATAAGGATGTGCCGGTGTCCTACTCTGGTGGTGGTGTTCCTGAGAGATCAATACGCAAGCCTAACTTGGAAGAAGTACTTCGCAGATTACTCAACTTTCTCAAGCCCGAGACGTTTCAGGGAGCTGTTAAGGCCATAAACGAGAGGATACTCTCTGTCTTGGATGATAAGGGCACAGGGAGGGTGGATTTGGGCATGTTTTATGCTGTTTTAGCCCCTATTTGCTCTGGCCCTCCAGAGAAGCGTAAAAGAATTGCCTACGATGCGCTCTTATGGCGTCCTGTGAATGAAGGCGGTTCTCAGATTAAGAAAGTGGATGCTACTGGATATATCAAAATGCTTAGGTCTATATATGTCCCTTCACAAGGGGTGAGTGAGATATTGGAAGTCCATGGAGAAACGGATGATTCAATGGTGTCCTTTTCCGAGTTTCTTTCCATGTTTGATGACGCAGATTGGGGTTTTGGTATAATGTCAACTTTGTTGAAGCTTGAGACTGGAGACACGAACCGCCATGGTCATCATATCTGCTCCGTTTGCCGCTACCCAATAATTGGTTCTCGCTTTAAGGAGATGAAAGCTCATTTTAGTTTGTGTAATCAATGCTACAGTGAGGGGAAGGTGCCTTCTTCCTACAAGCAGGAAGAGTACAGATTCAAAGAGTATGGAAGTGAGACCGAAGTAATGAAAGATAAATGCATGTGCTTTACTTTGCAGTCCAATAATGATTGATTCATAGTCAGATTTTTTTTTTTCACTCTTTTTTTGGCGTTTCTGTTGATCCTGTATTATCCCTTTTTCTGTTCGTGTTATATTCTAGTTGTTCAGTGTGAATTATACAATCTATCGAAGGTGTTCAGAGGGCTCTTGCCAATGTATAATAAATTGTTTAAGCGGCGACTTTAATCTCTATCTGCTAATATCATTTGTGGAACATCTTTTTCTTCATCAGCTTATAGCGTGTCATTTATGGCGTCTCATTTATATCATTTGTGGAATATCATTTATAGCGTGTCATTATGTAGAATACTAGTTTCTGTAGCTTTGTCCACTCGTTTTTATTTTTTATTTATTTTTATTTTTTGGTTATCTTAAAGAGGGTTGTACAAGTATACTACTTAAGCTTATAAGATGACTTCCACCGAGAATTCTCCAAGAATATTAGTTTTCCTTTTAATCTTTGCGACATATCCGGCGTGATTAGAATCAAACTCTATGCTTTTCGTTTCTACAATATTGGCTTCAGATTGCAGGCTGTCATTCTAGAAGGCGAACATCTATGAGGAATGGAAATGGTCTCGTCTAGAGGTGTCAAACGTGCCGTGCTGGGCCGGCATGGCACGCTTGACACAAGGCCCATTAAGGGCTTGGCCGTGCCAGGCACAGCCCTGCACAGTGCAGGGTCGTGCCTGGGCCGGGCCTGAGAAGAAAAACTCAAGCCCGGTCCAGGCCCTTCACGGGCCGGTCCCGGCCCGTGTATTTTTTTTAAAATTTAATTAAAAAAAATATATCATATGCCCCAAAAGATGTGATTTTATTGAATTGACGTAACAAGAGTACACATAAATGATTGTCTCGTTAAAAACCTTGCTAAGTAAAGCCCGTAGGGAGATCGAGACAAATCCTTAGCGAAGGAAAAAAGAGTGCAGTAGCTAGGAATAGTAAATTACAAACCTAAGTGTTTCTAGAAGATTCTGTTATTTCTAAGTTAGAAAAATATTATTGCTTGTTGTTTTCGTCTTCTGGCATCTTCCCAGTCTTTAACACACATTAGTCCCTCCAAGAAGTCTGGATGCATTTTGCTTCTCTTCTCATTAAGAATTCGGTTGCTTGCGCTAAAAGCTTACTCCGATGCTACCGTTGACACTGGAGTTGTCAGAATGTCACGAGCTATTATGGACATTGTTAGAAAATGATCGGTCTTACTCCTCCACCACTGTAAGATGTCTAGTTTGTCGTCATCAATTATAAAATTTGAATCAAAATATTTGACTAGTTCCGTAGACGCTTGTGTTGAGGACGATCCTGTCATTTTTTCTTTCTTCTTCAAGAAACTCCATGACGATCCTTTAGGCCCTGAACTGGTAGTTGACGACGAAGTTCCCTGTTCTTTTTTACCTGTGCTGTATTTTGTTTCATACAAACTAAAAATCTTTTCTAACATTTTCTTAGCGCCAGTAATACTTAGTTGCATATTTATTTCTAAATTCTCTGCGGTAACAGTCATCATGATTCAGTTCCATCTACTCGACACCTAGGATCTAAAATGGTTGCCAATGCATATAACATAGGACAACCTAATTAATAACTTTTAAATTTATTTTCCATTAACTTAACTATATTTCTAAAAAGTTATGTATCCCTATAATAAGAAAATGTTTCTGAAATATTAAATAGTTGATGTAAAGCTAAATATGCAGTAGGATAATAAACTCCAGAAAGTAATTCAGTAACATTGTAAAAAAACTTCAAGAAATTTAAAAAAGTACTCAACAATCTGCTAATCAGGATCGAAAATTAAAATTTGATCGTTCTTACTGTTTACGTATGTCGTGATAAGCTGCGAATACGGGAGTGCTACCTTCAACATTAAATATGTTGAATTCCACCTATGTCTCACATCAGTTGGAAACTTTCTTGGGCATATATGATTGTTCCTGCAATATTATTTGAATTCTTAGAGCCGGGTTCCAGAACTAGATATGAATGATAATGATTCTCTAATATTTATAAGATTAGCTGAGATATGTTCAATTCCTGCCTAAACTACTAAATTAATTATGTGACATGAACACTGTTGATGAAAAATTTTCTCTCCAAATGCTGGTTTCAAACTACGTTTAAACAGATTAATTGCAGCTGTATTAGCTGACGCATTATCAAAAGTAATTGTTAAAACTTTATCTTTTATCCCATAAAACCCAAAAATTTCCATTATTGTACTAAAAATAGATGTTGCGTTATAAGGATATGGACATAAACGAAAACCAATTATTCTTTTTTCTAAAACCCAATCGTCATCAACGTAGTGCGCTGTGACACATAAATATCATGTTTTATTGCACCCTTTCCACAAATCAAAAGTGCAAGAGAGAGTAGCATTAAAAGTCCTAAAATTATCAACAATAGATTGTCTCATTGCATAAAAAACTTTCATGCAATCAGAACGAGTTGTGTTTCTACTTACCCGTTTAAATTGTGGGCAAAAGGCTGTCTGGATGAATTCTTCGAACGAGGCATCATCTGTAAAAGAAAGAGGCAATTCAGCACTAGCTAGAAATTTAGCTAGTGCCCACGAGCACGTTGTGCATCGTATGTAGAATTTTGTAACCCCTGTGATGTGAGTGATAGTGTTTGTTGGCGGGAGTCCACACTCCCACCTTGGTGCAACGGTAGACATACTTTCCAATGTCTATCCAGATGACCAGTACCCCCACCATTTTTATTAGAAAAGTACTTTTTACAATATTTACATACCGCGCGAATTTCCATCTTACCTGTTTTTATATTTGGTCGGGGCTCCTCGATGAAATGCTGCCATACTGGAGAAGTTCGCGGTCTTTTTCCTCTACTGCGTTCTCCAGCTTCCTCATTGTGTACTAAAGCATTATCTACCAGAGCATTTTCTGGTTCTGTGGGGGTGAGGTTGGGAGGCATCATTTTTTCCTCAAAAAATGCCTCATCACCAAGCTCAGGAAGAGTAGTGAAATCAGGGAAGTTTGGTGCGGCCATTTTCTGAAAATTGATAGAACTTGATTGAACTTTATAAATGAAAGAGCTAGAAAAAGAATGAACGTGAGAAAAAAGCTTAGAATCAAAATCAAAGAGACAAGTTGAGAGATAGAATGAAAGTGAGATGAGAAGTTGAGAGTGAATTGTTGTGTGAGATTTATGGTGAAATTAAGGGGTATTTATAGGGAATTTTGGGGGTGAATTTTTGAATTTTAGGCTTTTTAGCCGTTGGGCCCTTCGCGGGCCCAACGTGCGGCACGTGACGGGCCAAACGGGAGGCCCGTCACGTGCCGCATGTTGGGCCCGCGAATGGCACCTGGACCAAATGAAATGGGCCGTTTGATAGGTTGTTTCGTGGGCTTGGGCTAGGCCGAACAAGGGCCGAATCGAGGCTTGGGCCGGGCCGAACAAGGGCCGTGCCGCGGGCCTCCACATGCTTAGGCTGTGCTTGGGCCGCGGGCTGAGAAGCTGAGGCCCAGCCCTAGCCCATTACACGTGTCGTGCCAGCACGGCCCATAACAGTAGCGAACAGGGCCGTGCCGAATCTGACACTATTATGGGCTGGGCCGGGCTGTCCATGGACGGCCCGGCCCATTTGACACCTCTAGTCTCGTCTCTTCAAGATTGATGTGTCGAACATGTTCACTGCGAGCTTGTGGGTGATTGTTGCTTTGGGCAAGTTCAGTTCTCGTTTTTTAATTAATTTTTTTTTAGTTTAAGTTGGTTTGCCCACTTATTTCGATTTTAAAAATAAATTGATTTTAGCGTTGCTTTCAGGATTGAATTAGTAGTTTGCTTGTGCTCCGTTCGGCTTTTGGGGTCGGCGTAATGCCGTTTGACACTTGGGTTGTTTGGTTGGGGGATTCGTATCCCAATTCGAATCATGGTTCATGATTCGCTACAGTGTTTTTTCTCACAAAAAATACACGTAAATCGAAAATGGTTCTAATCTTATGATTCTAACCCATGAACCAAATGTCTTATTTTAACCCTTTAAAATTCTTGCGTGAATGGTGCTGGAAAGTAGGGGCAGAACTGTTAAAACACTTCTGTCTCCTTGAAAGACTTTTTTGGTATCTTGGCACAGTAAGATAATTTAGTAAAAGCTAAAGAGCACCCTAGTAAAGATATAAAAGAAAAAAGAACAAGCTTTATAAAGTATGTTTGAATGATGCAAACATGTTGCTTAGTGTATGGTGTAATCATCCTCTACTAATATAATGACTTAGTTTAGTAGTGCTCTAGATTTTAAAAAAATTACTTTTAGCTGTACTAAAGAAAAAAACAGCTGTTACAAAAGCAGCTGAGTATTTGGTAAACTATAATTATAGTAGCTGTGCTGGTTCTAAAATTGATATAATAACGTTTGAAAAATTATGATGTTAAATTGCCATGAATAGTTAAAACTTACCACTATATTATATCATACTATAATATAATATATATAATTACACTATAATGTATATGTATTATTATATTTAATATAATAAAAAAAACTATTATTATATAATATATTATATAATTATGATATAGAATATAATAATATTATTAAAATAATAATTGAAATAATTAAAAATAATGATCATATTATATTATATTATAATATATATATAATATATTATAAAATAATAATTACATTATCATATTATAATTATAATATATTATTAATATAATTATGATATTATTTGTTACAATATTATATTATATTACATTATGACTTTGAAATTTAAATTAGAAAGATTATAAATTTTAAATTTTATTAGATATATTATAGGTATTATGAAAATTTCATTAATTATACTATGTTGATTTCCTCACAATCTAAAAATTAAAGTTGTCTTTATGTTGTTTCTGATTTTAGTTGTAGATTCTTAAAAAAAATTTTAAAAGCATTTTTGAGAAGATTTACTAAACACTAATATCAACTTCTGCTATAAGTAAAAATTGATTTTAGAAGAGAAAAATAATACCAAATTAAGCCAATATTTAACAAACTTTTACCTGTCAAACAAAAATAGAAAAGAG